TGGGCAAAAAAAAGTTCAATGTGTCCCATATGTTTAATAATGTAGCATATTCTTGGAAATAGAGCATATACGTAGAGAAAATGCTGTTTCACCATTTCATGTAGGAATTGGGTGANATATTAGGAAACTAGGTTTTGTAGAATCGTAAGATANCCATTTCTCAGATCATTTACAAAAATGTTGAGATATCTTCCAGATGACAGAAAAATCATAAAGTTTTCCTTTTGCATTAAAACTCTGGCAGTGAAGTACGTATTTCCTCTTCATGCTAAATACCGAATATTATAGCCATATCTGCAGTTTTCACAATGTTCTAAATGCTGCAATTACTAGTTCACTCCCGCCAGATCGCACACATGTTAAACTAGTAAATGGGGGTGCGTGCATATAGCAAGGTGGTAACCGCCGAGTCGCGCACCAATACCCGCGGAGTGTGCATACAAGTGTATGCTTCGTCGAGAAAAGTTGATGTGCTGTCGCTTTACAAAGCATAGCTAACCACGTACCTAATCTAGCATGGAGCTGCATGGAATCAAAGTCATTAGTGTGGAAGACGCACCAGTATTGGTTTGCCGAGGCCGAATTGTCAACCCCTTTTCAAAGGAGTTTGCAATGAGGCTTCTACCCCAACTTATTCCGATCACCGAAGAACGACGAGACGTATTGGACGAGATCATGAACCACTTTGCGCTGTATTCGAAGGAACACTACTTGAGAAAACGCATTATGCCCATTGGTAATACAGAAATCCCTGAAGTCAAGGAAACCAAACTAAATATCTGCACCCTTTGTTTCAACCACTGTTCCAAACGTCACATCAACGAGCACCTTAAAAGTGCACATCATATAAAGAACAGGTTCCTCCAACATACCTTTGCTACACTGGGGTACACGATCCCCAACCAGAAACGAACCATGTCCTATTTCTACCGCAAAAAACTGTATTCGGAGAAGCCCATTGATATGTTTGATATTGGCAATAGAGCAGCTAGAGACAATAGCGAGGACAAGTTCTTGCGGTACATCCACGCGGAGGACTATCAGGGCAAAGGATACGCGCAGTATATTGCAAGTGAAAACGAAAGAGAAAGCGAGCCAGTTGTTGCAGTGGTCGAGACCTATATGATGAAAAAAAGAGAGCACATGANAGCCAGCCACAGCATATTCAGCAAGATGAGTGCAATGGGGATATTGAAGGCCAAATACATATATTCGACAAGAGTGTTATATGCAAAGTTGGCCGGCCGGTTTTTCTATACGTTTGCAAANTATAGNGGTAATGCCGTAATCGGCGAGGTTATTCGTAGACCAACNCCACTGGTGGTCGAACAAGCCATGCATGTCATGATGGAGACTTATGTTCTTGTCGCCAAAGACCCCAGCGAGAAGTTCCTACAATCCGTGTTTATATCATTGATGACTGCAGACGATANATTTGCCGAGTCGAGGGTCAGGGCAAAGACGCTTGACGCCATTAACTACTGCCTCAAGTTGGCTGCATCCGATTACATGCAAGCCAACGACAATGTCAACGATGTCTTGCTGGTGTGGTACGAAACAGTATACTATGATTTTGAGCATTACCGGAGCGTCCANCACAAGTTTAACATGACAACACCAACGTTTCAAACGAGGGTGGATGAACAGGATATAAGAAAGGCGGCGATTGGGGCAGTCAATTTCAGCATCGACGATCTTAGCAAATTGGCCCGCTGTTTGGTCAAGGACTACCGCAGGCAAACTGAGACGTTACTTCCAAAAGGCGTAATTATCGTGGACGATCTTTACGAAGAGTTTGAAAGAAATGCTGTGGAGTTGATCAACTGCAAGGATAGAGGATACAGTGTCTTCTTTGGAACATCAGCTATCAATGATATAGCGGCCAAATGCTTATTGCGGTTTCGGGATGCGTTGGGCGATCTCTGGGATAATCTGGGATACATGAAGATCATATTACAGAAGTTGATGAAGCTAAACTTGAACGTATTGGTGTGCATAATGATAACCTGTGGAAGTCCCTTTCGAGTGTCCGAGCTCTACACATTGACGTTCGCCAATCCTGTGGGGACAACACGTTCCATGTATTATTCGAACGGGCTCATCCAATTGAATATCCGTTACAATAAAAATACCCATAGCACGTTAAGGTACACCAACCATACCAAAGTATTGCCGCAGGATGTCTCCAAGATTGTGATTCATTACATTTCAGTGGTGAGATATTTGGAGATTGCCATTGTCGAGAGACACGGAGCTGACGAGATTTCCAGGGATATTAGTGAGCCGTCTTATCGCAAGAATATAGACGACAATGACGATGAATCCGATAGAGAGGAAGCGGAGGCACTGACAAGTATTGCCGAGCGCCAGCCAAGAAAGGCAATGCTCCGGACGCTAGTATTTCTTTCACCATTTGGCGTGAGGAAAGGCGCCCAGGCATTCACATTCTTGGAGTGGGCCAGTGAACAATATATTGGCGAAAGGTACACACCACGACTTTTGCGACAGGCATTGGTTCACTTTACGAGATTACTCTTGACGGAGAACAGATACCGCGATACGGGATTTCTCAAACGCATAGACAAGCTAGCGGGGCACACCACGACGACTGCCGATATGCAATACGGTGTCACGCACTCGAATTCGCTCCTACCCAGTGTTCCTGTAAATAATATCGACATTCGGATTTCTTTGGAGTGGCACAGGATATTGGGGCTAACTGAGAAAAATGTAAAGGTTTTCCACCAAAAAGAGAACCGAACGGTGTTGAAAGATATCATGTCTCAGTGCTATATCGGACGAGACGAAATAGACGCTATTGGCAATCGCCTTTATAAAGATTTCAATATTGGCACGCTAGATCACACGCATATGTTGCACTATGCCTGCAATTCAACGAGAGATATGTTGATCATCAGCCCTACGGGGTCTAGGAAGAGCAATGCATTTAAATTTCCCATTCTAGCTGAGAAAAAGTTAGGCCTTCCATTCGTCAGCTTCATCATATCACCATTCGTCAGTTTGCTTGAGGATATGAAAGAGAAGCTTTTTGATTTGGAGGAGCTAGCGGTGGCGATCTATGATCCTGAGAAGGAGTATGAGTATTATATTACGTGCGACGTTGTCATCGTTCAGTTGGAAAAAGCGAAGGAGGCAGAAGGGCTAGTGCGGCATTTCCATCTGGAAAAAGTATTCAAGTATATTAGACGGTTGGTGTTGGATGAGGCGCATATTCTAATGGAGCATAAATCATTTCGTGCAGCGAGCATCATGAAAATCTCAGAGGTTTTCGGGAGTGGCGTCCCCAAGTTATTTCTTTCTGCAACGTTTCCTAAGCTGTATGAGTCCCGGATATGTAGAATGTTTGATATCAAGGATTGGAGAGTTCATCGCGGAGAGACCATCCGCAAAAATATCGCCCATATTGTTGTGCAAGATACGTTTGATGTGACGAGGGCATTGAAAAAGATATACGAATCGGAAATAAAGCCCAACCGAACGAAAGGAATCGTGTTTGTATATAAACGGAGTTTGGCGATAGAGTTGGCCCAGGATTTAAAGTGGATTGTGTTCCATGGAAATATGCTGCCGGGCAAAAAAGGTAACGCATATAGAGAATTTTCCAGGCTTGAAGAGGGTATGGTAGTGGCAACGTCTGCATTCAGTCACGGAGTAGATTTAAAAAGAATCAGCCATGTAATAACGGTCGGTCAGGTTAATAGTATTATTGAATTCCAGCAAGTAGTGGGTCGAATGTGGCGCGGAGAACCAGAAAAGATAGGCCGCTCGTATATTTTGTTGCTGCCCGGCAGGATGCATGAGCATATAAGACCATCATCGTGCGTTAATGGCTCTTTGACGAGCGAATTAGATGGAAAAGAAGACGAAAATTGCAGATCTCTAGATTGTGTCAGTTGTTCGGTATGTGACGGGACCAAGAGAATTGATAGCGGAGCTTTCATGTACGATTCATCAGATTCAGATTCAGACGAAGGAATGGAAGTTGAAGTAATAGAAGTCGAAGATCCTGAAGATGAATTGTCCGAATTGCAAGCCACGCTTCGGGATTGCCAGTTTAATGTTCTCAAATTATATGGATTAAGGCCCGAGAGCGAGCTGGTTGCGGATTCGTTAGGTGTGTATGCCAAATCATTCTTCTCAACGGTAATCAATCCTGGCCTTATTGTGGATTTAGGAGTTTGCTCCGGCTGTCTATTATCTAATTTTCATGCTCATAGCTTAGATCCGGGCCATGAATCCCTGAGGTCCATGCTGTGCTCTTTAACGCCTCTTCTCCATGCCTTTTCCATATTCTTTTTATGCGAGAATCGTGATGGAAAGGCGCATTTGGAAAGCATGATGATGTCACCCAATCTCAGTAGCATTATGATCAGGAGAATTGAGGATCTTATCAGGAATCCTGGTGGAAAGTATGAACGCATGGCCAAATGCTTGATGAGTCGTTCAGCCATTGAAAAGAATCATTTGGAAGTTAGTTGGGCGGAAGTGTATAAAGTGAATGATTATTTGGAGAACCCTTGTGTTGATGCAGCCCAATTAGTTTACGGACCAAGTGATGGGTGGTGTGAGCTTAGCAGAGTCACGCTCAATGCGTTGGAAATAGCATGCCAATTTCGATTTAAATCCATAAATGGTAATAAAGTGTTTGGATTCTGTTTTGGGTGCTGGGGTAAGTTGTACCATAGAAGGCAAATTGATTGCCATAAGGGATTAATAGCAAGAATATTGATTTATTCTTATTATGAAGGGTCGTTGTTGGAAAAGTATTGTTCTGAGCGGCGTATAGAGCTCGAGTATCCTAGTGTATGCCATCTAGTAGATCTTATGGTTTTCCGAGAAGGGGATAGTGTGCCGTTATTCTTTGNTTATGTAGGTTGGTTGTTGGCCCGCAGTCAAGGATAATGGAGTGTTGTGTTTGTGATAAGTTGAATATATGTATTGTTTTGGAAATATTCGTTTTGTGTAGATTACGGAATTTGTGTAGCGATTAGAGCGAGGTGATCAGTTCTATGAAGGTCGCAGAGATGCGATGGCATCGGTCATAATCCAATTATGAGAAATTAGTCGAAATTAGTCGAAATGCGGATATTCGATAAATGTAGTATAGAATATGGATATATGATGGGTAAATGTTGTAAAAATGGGATTGAAAAAGCTAGTTTTTGCTAGTTTTTGGCTATTTTTAGCAATGGAGTCGGGAAATAATTTGATAGATGGAGCGATTGGAATAAGGAAGTAATATTTGTAGGATTATATGGTATTGGTTAATTTTATGAAAAAGTGAAATCTAAAAGGAGAAGTTGTAGTAAATTAAAATAAAATCGGATATAGTTGGGGTATATTGGGTAAGAGGAGTATTATATAGGAAGGAGAATGCTATATTCGAAAGGGTGAAGATTTTAGGGTATGGAGTATATTGAATAATTAGGATGGCTATTGGTGATTTTGTGTAATAAGAAGAAGGGAATTGAGAGCGAGAATTGGATTGAGAGTGAAATATAATCAGGTGATGCGAATCAGGTGCTTTTATGCTGCGAATTGCTAGAAAAGAGCGGGAAATGGCAGAAATGAGAATATTGGGCCCGATAAAATGTATTTCGCGGGATATTTAAAGCGAGTTTTAATCTGTAGGGTGGTGAGAGTTGAGGAGAATTATTGGAAGTTTATTTAAGGCGTTGATGATTGAATCGATTGTAGTTGAAAAGCGAAATATTTGTCGAGGTTGATGGTAAGCCGTGGGTGGGCGTTATGGTGATGGAGATGAATTATTTTTTAGGCGTTAAGGATAAATAGAGAAGATTAATTGGATGTTTAGGCGAATTGGTTAGTCGTATCGGCGTTATTTTAATGAGTATTGAATAGAAGGTGTAATTAGATGAATATATTGGATGTTAATGGGGAGATATTAGTAGGAAAGAAAATGATTAAGGCCTTTTTATGGAGAGGTGTTGAAGAGGCGTTATGATGGGAATATGTGATTATAAAGAGATATTTATAATCGATAATTGAAGGAGAATAAATAAGGCATTGATAGAATATTTGAATTGAGATGTATAATATTAGGATGGTATTTTGATTGTGATTTAATTAGTATATTGATATTTATGAGGGATATGTATAGAAAAAGGATGTTAATATTATTGGATTGGGTGATATAAAAGGATGCGATAAGGAAATATGTTAGTTATTATGTTGTGGTGAATGAGGAGAAGATTAGTTTGAATATGAGATGCTGAGATTCAATGAGAGAAATTTTAAGTTAAGATAATATGAATGGATGTATGAAATAGTTGAATATTAGAAGATGAAAATGAAGATGATGCGAATGAGTTATTATTTAATAATGAAGTATGAGATATGGTGCGTTGTGGAGTTTAAGGGGATTAAATATATATTTTTAGATAATCGAATAGTTGATTAATGAGTTTTGATTTATGGTGTGGTATAAGAAGGGGCGAGATAAATAATGTATATCGTTAAGTGAATAGATGAGTTATGAAAAGGATGGAATATGAAGAGAATATCTAGGATATTATTGAAAAGAATGAGGTTTATAAGTTTATTTAGAGAAATATTGAGGTTAAGGCGTGAAATGATATCGAATGTTGAGGTGTAGGGTTTATTGCTTAGTAAAATAAAGATATTGTGTAAAGATATCTGTATATATTGGGAGTTTAAAAGAAATGAATGTGTTATTTAGGCCGATAATGGGATAATGAGCAGATATGAAATTAAAAATATTATGTAGAATTGGATGAAGATATGAGAAGTATAGGTTTGTATTATAAGATAGGATGATTGGAGGATTATCGATTTGAATTTATTGAGAGCTTTAGTGAGGTAATTGGTAATTATGATTTTGTATTGAATATGGATTATGGGGATATTTGTTTGAGAGAGTAGTAGGATAGGCGTTGTGATGGTTTTGATTTATATTGGAATATAAAGATTATTGTTGGTTAGGTTTAGTATTTGAGGAGAGCAGAATAATGGAGGATATGGTAAAGGATGATAATGGGAAGAAGAAAATGTGTTTAGGATGAGTTATGGTATTTGGTATAAATAGGAAGAGAAGTGTTATATGAAAATATATGAAAATATGGGAGAAAGAAAATTAAATAGTAATCGGATGAAATTATAAATAGATGCGAAAATAGAGAAATAGAAATTAAATGAGTGCGAAAATTAGAAGAGAAATGAGGAAGAGTATGTAGTTGGGAATTGAGAGAGTGGTTTGAAATATGCTAATGTATATGAGGATGTATAAATATGGGTTGTTAATTTATATTGAAGGGAGTTTGAGATGATATATGAAAAGAATTGGTTAGTAAAGGTATTGGAGAGAGTATTGAAAGTGTGGATAATCAAGTGTAATGGAAATAGTAATTGGATTGAATGGAAAGTGGTTGAGGAGTTAATATGAGATTAATTAAGTATTTAGAGAAGATTATACCCTGCAAATGGGTGCGTCCTNGTAAATCCTATACAAAATGTGCACTCCGTGTTTTGTTTACTTTTACCGGGAGCCATGATGTCATGGCGCTTTTCTAAATCAAAACAAAAACATAATCATAATTGTTGTATTACATAAGAGACAATCATAGTATTATATAAAAAGAGAATAGCCTCACTTTTTCTTCATATGCAAACAGCAAATGGTCTACTAACCCCT